CAGTACATGGTCAACATTGATTTGCAGCCTTGGTATACCATTCGCTCCGCTGTCTTGCGACACAACTCCTTTGTGATGAACAAACAGACCAAACTGCCCTCGAGATTCTATAGCAGAATGACTAAAGACGCTGTAATTGTCTTGAAAGAAGGAACATTTCATATACTGCAAAATTCCTTTGAAAATCCCAACTTTAACTATCAAGTCGCAGCCGCTCTTGTTGCTCATGGAAGAGTCATAAATGCAAGCCACAATTGGTGGGGGACAAAAGACGAATGTAGGATAAAGGACTTGATATTTGATAAGGAAGATAGACTTGATCTTGTCAAAGCTGATTATTTTCCCTATTTGCTGAGCAACCATAGCTCAGATATTATTTCATCAAATACCACCAGGCCTTTGTGCTTTCTCAAAGACTCGCATTTGGGCGGTACACTAAACAGGCACTTAATATTATCCAACAAATCAGTCCCATATAAGGTGGTGAATGATTTAGTCATTCTTCCGAAGGGATCTCTCGTCATAGAATCTAACGTAACTCTGATATTTCCTCCAAGATCTGCGTTCGTTGTTCAAGGAAGCTTGAACATTTATGGCGAAGAAAGCGCAACTGTGAAGTTCACTCTAGACAAGGTTGTTGACTCAAGAATACGACTGAAGAATGGTTGGTACGGCAATCTTGAGATTAAAATCAACAGTACATGGATGACTCTATGTGTCAAGAGAAACTTTTATTTTCAACCAGAAATGGTCTGCAACCACTTCAATCTGGAGTATGAAAGTTATAACCGGTATTATCCAAGTGGAAAAGAACATGGCTTTATCAATAACTTAAATTGTGATCACAACATAGCCCTGGACATGAGTCCATGCAACTATGAAAACCTTAGATATACTCCACGTTGTGATGATTATGTCTTGTACCTTCGATGTAAGAGACCCTACTGGTCTGGTGTTCACCTTGCCATGACTAAAGCCAAAAATAGTATTAAGCACCTTGAGATCCACGAAGGGGGTCATAATTACAGAACAGACCTCAAAATAACCTCAGCAGCTTTAAGAGTGGATTTTGATGACCACGTCCTGAGAAATATARTGGTGAAGAATTCAGCATCTGTTGGTGTACAGGTTTTGTATTCAAATCCCTTCAAAAGCGTGCCAACTTTATCTAGTTCCTTGGTAGAGGGTACTGAGTCCAACGGTTTGCAGATCAGTTTTTCCCATACAGCTCTAGATCGTGTTAACATCATAGATGCTAAAGGCAACGGTCTTTATTCAAAAAGCTTGTGGAACGATCTTGACTTAGATGCTCAAAGAATGTCCGACCATAAATTTATTCACCACGTCTCTAATTGTAAAGAAAAGACGATATTCGTCAAAGAAGGCCACACAAAGTATTTAATCTTTTCGCCCATCGAAAATCCTGTAAGTTTGACCTGCGAACAAGAGATATATACGACGAACAGCTCAACTATTGGTGTGCAAATGGTCTACAAAAACCTCATGTCACATTCCTGGTATATAAAAGCATGTAGTGGTAACAAAGAATGGGAGCTGATAGATATGTTATGGGAAGACAGACCTGTTCTATATGCAAACAGCTCAAGGTTCTCTCTTCAATTTATAAAGTCATATGGTAGACGTAACATTCTTGTACACTTATTGGTTTTTACTCTAAATGGTGAGTAATAATAAGATTAACATTTTTCATGTCTCCTTTGGATCCACGCTTATTATACAAACTCCATGCATCATTGTCACAACCCATAAGACATATATAGCTTTTTCATGGTCTGTAGTTGCGTAATGTTAACGTATGATTACAAGTAATAACCTCGGGATTTCTACGAGTCTAAAATAATCCTGTGTTTCTAGAATGTTCCGCGCGAGACAGGAATCATGAAACCCTGTAATAATGAACGTCAAACTACTAGCAATAAAAGTGGTCATTTGGTGCCTATCGCAGAACCAATATTCCCCATCTTTACATCATGCTTTAGATAAATCCTGGATTGCCAACTGATTCAACTATGATTTACAAAAGCATATGAATTTTATCCTTTATTTTGAAATAGTCTCGAGTCTGGTAAGAAAAACGACGGAAATTTCGATTATTTGTTTTATATTATTTGTCTGCATTAAAAAACCATAGATGATCACATATCTAGGTATCTACATACCTGTAACTGACACCTTGGATTTTATCTCTTTCCATAGCCACGAATACAATGATGTCTCAACATGGCAAGCTTTCAATGACAAATTCTACCATCAAGAAAACTTCCGAAAGTGCGATTTATATCTATGGCAATCAGCTGCAGTCTATCAACTTACAAAACTCAACAGTTCAAGATAGTCTCAAAAATGGGCTTGAAATGACCTTGTCAAGAACGAGTCTTTTGATCCAATCTTCTGTTATTGAACGTCACTCACAGTGTGTCTTCTTAGGTTATCAAAAGTACTTTATTGGTATCCGAGGCAACGTTCTCATCTCAAACAGCGTAATTTCTGAGTGTAGCGAAAACGGGATTTACATTTTGTCTCATGGAAGGAAAAATATAACTATTCACGATTCTTCATTATCCAATAACACTGGAATCGCGGTTCACATATATGGATCAATATCTGACACTTCCCTTTACATAAAGGGATGCAGATTTTACTGGAATCAACGCCAATGTATCAATGCGAACGGCAAAGAGGACAGTGGCTCTTCAATAGAATTTCTTGTGGTGAATAATTTCTTTACCAACAATGGCGGGCGCGTTATCAACATTGAGCATGCTACATCATTAACAAAATGGCTCATTGAGGGAAATGTCTTCTTTAACAACTCTGAACCTTCTGTATTTTCGATTGGAGTAGAATTCTCGGATGTGTCATATGCCGTTAAAAATAACAGCTTTATTTCCAATCGATGTACTAAAGACGCTGTCATAGACTTACGCTATAATGCTCGATTTGTGGATATCAATCAGAACACATTTGTGGGAAACTTGGGACCCTCGGTAATTGTGCAGACTGCTGTCAAATCACTTCCATTAATGATCGTGGGTAATACATTCAAACACAATGTTTGTCCTGGTTGCCCAATTTTAAAGTGCCTCCGAACAGAAAAGGAGACTATTATGATGGAGAACAACACTATGATCAATAATACTGGTCATACGATGATATCGATCCAAGCTGTTTATGACATTAACTCCAAAACAGCCTATCAAACACTGACTTTGGTAAACAACACGATTAAACATAACCATCCAAGTACAAGTTCAGCATTTTCTGAAGTCAAGTCATGTATTATTGAGTTGAATGGCATCTTGATTTTCAAAAATGTTCAATGGCGACGAAACAAACTTAGTAACTCACAATATGACTACGAATTGTGTCTTCATACCCTTGGCTTGTCTCAGCTGCCTCAATTAAACGCCAATGAAACATGGTGGGGAACGAACGAAGACATCTCAAGAAGAGTTCTCAGTTTTGATATTAACTATGAATACGGCATCGTCAACTATGGACACTTTCTTGCCTTAGAAAATAAGGTATTGAAAACAAAAGTGTATGACGCTGACTCTGCATTCGATGAGTTGTTTGAAAAGTCAATACTCAGGGGAAGGATACATAAATCTATAACCCTCCGACGCCAAAACAGCCCTTTCAAGGTTCTTGGAGATGTTACTGTGCTACCCGACACCGTGCTTACAATAGAACCTGGAGTAACTGTTCAGTTAGCACCATACGCGAGTATATTAGTGCTTGGAACACTCATTGCAAGAGGTGATAAAGAACACCACATCACCTTCAAGCACATTGATAATTCCAAGAATACTGAAGCACTTCCATTTGACATTCGGTTAATGGATGGGGATTTTCCTTGGCATGGTCGATTGGAAGTTTATCACAATACAAGTTGGAAACCGTTATGTACAGAGAAGTGGATAAGACAAAACGTCATTGTTGCCTGCCATCAGCTTGGTTATGATGGTCCAAATTTGGACATGAGCCCAATAAGATTCGGTAATACAGAAAACAATCTGACGTATCCTTTTGAGGTATTGTGTTCTGGAAATGAATCATCTATTGCAAAGTGCTCAAAGAATTCAACATGTCAAAACATCCGTCGCTGTCAAAGTGTCGTTGGATTAAGGTGCCATGGAAAAGAATGGGGATCTATTCGTTTTTCACGCCCTCCGATTGAAAAAATCAATGCAAGTAACAGTACATCAGTTCTTGAATACGTTGACATTATGTACGCTGGGAAAAGGAAAAGCTCAAATACCTCGGCTATTGAAATGATTCGAAGAGTTCCAATAATAAGACATATCAAAGTATTTAACTGTTCCTCTGGGGGTCTCACCATCGTGTTACCAGATAAAAACCACAAAATTGAGAAGAGTCAGTTCATAAATACTGGAGGAACAGGAGTAACAGTTATGGAAAACACGAAATCTATTGTCATTCAAGATTCTTACATATCTGAAAACAATAATGGTCTCCTTTTTATTCGTTGGGATGATCAATTAATCAGCTCGTTCGTCGGACAAGATGGAGTGTTTTTGTGTGATAATAAAATGCAAACGATAGATGTAAAAGAAAGCGAATTCCTTTATTTTGAAACGACACCAGCTAAAGGTTATACTAATGATTATCCCACAGTCGAATGTCAAAAAACACTTCGAACTGAAAAAGGCATGGGAATAATTATTAAAGTTTTGAGCGTCAAGGGGACACAAACCCTACGTGTTCATGTTGGTCAAACTGAAATAATAAACACTGAAACTTATGGTTTGAAGGGTGACTATTTATACGTCGATTTTGAGGAGATACAATTAAGCTGGAAAGGAACATTTTCCTCGCAAGTTGTGCTTCTCGCTACTGCAATAGAACTGAAAGGTACGTATACTGACAGCTATTTCAAACAAGGTTGGCAAAGGTCAAAAGGTTTACTACTTAAGAAGTTGTCACCAAATACCATAGTGCTGAAGTTTGTAGATGAGCGAAAGTGCAAAGCGCCTTCTATTCCTATAATCACTTTGACACCACTGGATTGTGCCAGGAAATTGAATTTCATTCACTGAATTTTATTGAATTGCCCTCCCACCCCACCCCTTTTTCTGCTTAATGAGGTTTAGAAAATCCCACGGTCGTTTATGAAGGGTTAAGTTAAAAAGTAAATAGAAATCGTGCATGGCGGTTCTTTTCAAGATTGGACATTTTTCAGAAAGTGGGTACCCTTGATATAACTATTTTTATCCTCTTCAGATATGCCATGTACTTTTATTAGACGTAATCATATGTGCGGTTGGCAAAGTGTCTTAAATAAAAGGGTCCTGGGAATGTCAACGAATCTCGCGTTTAAAAATGTTTATGATGCTGTAAGTGGTACGTATAATATATACACAATTGACAACAATTTACATTATTTTCTCTCATTTAGCTACACAACCCTTTCTTAACTGTTTTATTATTTTTTCTTCGACAGGGCATACGATTGGTCTACCTTCATATTTATATTGGCGGCACGAATATTATGCTAATCTTGTAAGCCCTATGATCACCCCAAATGCAACAGCATGTCAACTGAATTTCGAGTACAGCTTTTTTCAGCACAATTATTTATGGCTGGCAGTGATACTAGAGGAATACGAGAACGGAAAACAAATTCATTCTAAATTATGGTCATCTGATGAAGAAGAAACTCAGGAGAGATTATGGATGAATACTTCAATTAAAATTCCTTTAAGAAACAAGCCTTTCAGACTTGTGCTGTTCGCGCACATCAAAAGTCGTGCATGGAGTCGTTATATTTATTTCAAGAATTTGAAGTTTGAAAACTGCTCCGCTGGTAAGTTAACTAGTCCTTGTATGGCATTGTATATATGTAAGTAAAAGTAAGCAAAACTAACTACCTTAGTTATATGTTTACGCGTATCATTACAAAGAATATAACGGTTTTTTACACTGAGGAAGGGGAAGCCCGATTACGTCAGTAATATTAAAATAGAAGCTTTACATACATAAGAGTTTATGGTTTTAGTTTACTTTATAGCATGTTAGCTTCACCGTGCCTTGTCTCCGCTTTACAGCGTCTTCCATGCAGACAATTTCATTTTTTTTTAACTGAACATATATCATGGTCTCAAAATCATTTCGTAACTTAATACTTTTGAATGAGTTTCAGAAAATATCAATGTCAATGGGAATTCCTTTACGAAGAACCGAAAACATAGTATTTTGCTGCAAAGTAACGTCCCGATTCAGCAATTCAGCATAAAGATACACAGAAACAAGTTAACTAATGCCGTAGATGACGCCAGCACCGGTACCATCAGAATTAACACATATAACAATCCATTTTATATATTAAATAACTTTATATCGAATAACAACAATGGAGGCGTTTATGCAACTGTTGGAAACAGCCATGGCAATTTGGTCATAAAAAGCATGATTGAAAGAAATTATTTCGAAGGCAACAAAAAGGAAACAATATACATAGATGCTGGATACGGCGGAAAGGCCTTTAACATCGATATATTTGGTAACAATATTAATGGTAACAACGGTACAGGCGCTGGCCAAGCCATACACAGCAACATTAAGTTATCTCAGGTTGTTTGTACTCTGGAAGAAAATTTTGTTTACGATAATTATGGCAGGTACAACTTAGAGATCATGCTGAACAAGAGAACCATAGTTAATAGATTGATAAAAGTTCGAAACAACACCTTTTATCACAATCGTGGGCTGATAAAAGACTATGTGTCTACAATGTATTGTAATGGTCCTGTGGAGATCTACAAGAATGTCATCAAGAATCCGTCCAATCTTTATGAGCTTGTCACAGACCGAGCAAGTTCATTTCGATCGATAAATGCAACTGATAATTGGTGGGGATTTGGGTTACCAAAGATTGTTGGGAAGCGTATTCTTGATCTGTTTGACGATGCAAATCTTCCTAAAGTAAACTACCATCCCTATATACGACTCAGGCCGCCAGCTGCCGTACCATGTAAGTATAGTTTTACCCGTTGGTATATAAATTATATCTAATTTTTTCAGTTAATATTGTTCAGTCTCATAATATATTCAACTTTTTTTTTTTTCTTATACATGCTTTATTTTCTCTTAAAGTGTCTTGCCCATATGGATGGAGTTTATATGAAGAATCTTGTTTTTTGTACAATGGAGGGCCCTTATCTTTCCATAAAGCTGAGGAATACTGTCTGGTAGGTTGGTTGGAATAATAAGGGAATTTAATCATCATCATCATCATCATCATCACCACCACCACCACCGTTTCATTTCGTTTTTTGGTAATTCGTTAATTTGAGGTTATTTCTCAAAAGATGTATGGGAGCCATTTACTTAGTTCTAGCCAGGAGCTGGATATGAGTTTCATAAAGACTACTTTCCATAGTGACAAACAATCCAACAGTGGAATTAGAATGAGAGTGTGGATGACCAATAATAATAAGGTAATTACAATATTATTTTGATAAATTACTATATATGATTTTCATGTACCATAACTTGGGGATGTTTACTTATATGATACTCTGAACATGCTGATAATTTTTTTTAAATAACGTATTTTCTCAGTTAACGCTAATGTTGCGAATCACAAAAGAGGATATTGGCCGTCCGTTCCAAGGTCGAGGAAGAAAAATGGTTGAATTGACATTGCAGTGCATTGTGGGACTGTCTTAGGGAACGAAATAGCCGCCATCTTGGAAATATGCCCCGTAAAACGGTCCCGCAATGCACTGCAATGCTAACTCGACCCAGTTTTTTTTCTCAACCTAGGAACGACTGATACACCCTTTGTAAAAAGCAACTTTTGTTCCTGAGGTCAAAACTACAAGAATTTGAATTTTTGTGCAAATTAGTGGACGACCACTGTCAGTTTGCAAAAAAAGAAAAGGTCTGATCTATAAAATAACAGACTGAAAGAGTCTTTATATCCTTGATCTATACAGATTTCAGGATATTCCGTGTATGAGCAAGATAATAACTTTATTATCACGCCATGTGAAAGTCTACAACCATTTGCATGCTCCAAAACTCCGGGTATGTATGTACACATTCGTTTGCAATACTCTCCATCTCTCTCTGTTTTTCATCTTACGTAGTGATAAAGATTTCTGAGTATTTATTCTCTTTCCCTCATATTCGAAATTCTCGTATTGGTGTGCATTCCGAAAGAAGACCCAACTACTCATAATGTGTTATATGCATCTTTTTTAGTGATTCGTTGTCCAAACAACTGTTTCCATAATGGTAAATGCGTTGGAACGACGTGCTTCTGTAATAAGGGGTGGACTGGCCCTGACTGCTCAAAATTCCACTGTAACAATCTTCGTAACTGTTCTGGACATGGTACCTGCG